GCTTGGTGTGGAGTAGCAGCACTGGGCAAGTTGGTGGCTTTGCACAGGGATGACATGATGCTTTGAATCTGCTGAAGGACTTGCATGTGCAGAGCACTGCTGGGAGGAAAGCTGAGGATGAATAAGGGGAAAGTACTGCACGACAGAAGTAATTAATGAACAGCTTAGAAAAAGTATTTAGAAGTCTTATTAGGCCCTCAGTAAAGAAAACAAATGTTCAGACTCCTCCGTGAGTCAATTTCAGCCCCAGACATGTCCAATCGTATGGGTGTTTCTTACAGGTATTCCACAAAAAGGATTCGTCAGCCCCTGTGGCAGCTTCAAACAGCTGCATGCTACAGAGCCCAGAAGCATCGAATTCCTGTATTTCACTCTGATCCCCAGCATTTCTCAATTGAAAAGCTTTTAGCTTAGTTTATTTCAGAGCAAACATTTCCCTTTGTCCTCCCAGACACATGGTACTTCTCAGATCTGAAGGGCCAGAAACACTGCAGAGCAGAAGCTGTAATCACAGCGCAAGGAGAAGGGGAGCCAGCCTCTGAACCCTATGTCAGTGTGATATATTCTCCCCCTGCCAGGTGAAGCACTTGATTCCTCCCCTTACAGAATCAAGATTTAAACTTTGAAGGTTGCAGATTTGATGCCCAGCTATGACAAAGGACAGTTTTTTTCTACAGCATGTGGTGTCCAAGCTTCCTGAAACTGGTGAAGGAGCATCTCTGGTACTAGCAAACAGAACTGCTGAGGAGCCTCTGGTTTGCTATGTTTTTCTAAGATACAGAATGGAAAAGAAAACACTTCCCCTACATAGACTTCCTCTACTAATCTCTATACTTGAGATTCTCCAAAAGTAGAGGGTATTCTAAACTATAAAGGAATAAGCTGTCTGTATTGATGATTATGCATACAGTAAATTACTTTGAATACAACCAAAGTTTATGTGATGTGAGCCTTAAACACTTTAAGTCTTGGTCTGATCTCACCAAATCACCACCTGGCGGAAACAACAGCGCTCCATTGTCTTACGGGAGGAGCTAACCTCATTTCCTCAACTAAAAATCTGTCCTTTGACTTTCAGCTCCTATGTCAAGAAATGCTTGTATGTATTTGCTTCTCTGTACGGTGACTTGTATTTTCTTGGCTATTGAAAGAAACAGAGAAGCAGAGAGAATAGAGTCTTTCGAACACCTTTTTCACATGTTCACATTCTGCCTTTAATCACATTTACAGGAAGGTATCAGCCTTTAAGTACAGCTCTAAGGGTGTTAGTGGTGCCATACAAAGTAAAGGTCTCTGTACTGCCAAAGGCCACATGACTGTCTTAGCCTGTCACAACATTTAATCGGGAAATTATTTTTATTATAGAAACTACTTTCTTTGGCTTTTCTGCTTTAGGCTCTTCAGACATACCAGACTGATCCTGCCATGAGAAAGATGCTAACTCAGCTGTATTTCTATATCATGCCTGTATTTAATGTGGATGGATATCATTTTAGCTGGACAAATGTGAGTAGTATCAGTAGTATTACCAAAAAAGTTGTTCTGAAAAGATGGAATGGTTGGTGCATCATTCAAAGGGGACTTTCTGTGTAATCTGGTCTTGTGGCAAGGAAAATGGAAGTAAATTACCCCAGTTAAAATACAGTAGTGAATATGTTTAGGGTGGCTGGTTTGTTATGTATACAAATAGACTTTTGCCAAAAGATAGTAATATTGCTATTTAACTATTTTATACCCTCTGCTAGGATCGATTTTGGAGAAAAACAAGATCAAAGAACACAAGGTTTCGGTGTCATGGTGTTGATGCTAATCGCAACTGGAAAGTGAAATGGTGTGGTAAGTCTGGAGACACTTTGGTCCACCAGTTCAGATTACCCTGTATTTAATTATCCAACAGAGTAAGTAGGTTAGGTCACATCCATTGTGAAGTGTTCTGTTTTCCGTAGTTAAATTTGGAGGTAGTTTCCCATACAACCACAAGACAGGACTCAAATCTTCCTCCCAGCTTCTAAAAAAAAATGTCCTGAGCTTTGGAAAAACACCTCTCATCACAAATAAAACGTTTTCATGGTGAGAATGTCAGATGTATAAAACCACACATATAGCTATTCTGTATTCCTGCAATAAGTTAATAACTTGAAGCACAGTATTGAGCCTGGCCCATCACATCCCAGGATTTACCTGACTTACAGTTTTAGGAAACATTTCAAAGTTCATTTTATTTTACTTAGTAATGTCTCTGAAATGGGTTTAGCTTTGGAAATGTCAGACTTGCTTTGTTGGCCTCACAGAGAAATGTCTGAGAATATTTTAAGGCCATTATTATTAGTGATTTCATAAAGAAAAAAGGTGCTTCTAAACGCATAAAGCTCCAATTTAAAACTCCCAGCACTTCTGTAAATGACTTCATAAAAATTGACTTCAGTTGTGCATAGAGAATTCAGCAGTAATGTGATCCCAGCAGAAGATTTAGAATGGGTCCACTGAAGAGGAAAGGGGTTTTTATTAAATCTTACAGCGAGACAGTACGACTTACACAGGAGTAAGGAGACATACAAGTTCTGGTGCAGCAGAGAGTCACAGCACTTTCTTGTGAACTATGGTGATATACATACCTGGTTCTTCTGCTGACCTGCTCTCCCATCTTGAGCACCTTCCTTCAACTCCCTGTGCAGCTGTTTCCTCCTCCAGCATTCATCCACCTTCCTTATTTGTATTACAAACTTGTAAAGGCAGAAATAATGTTTGCACAGAGCTAGCACTCCCTTCAGCCCATCGCTCTTTCACTGAAAGTCTCTAGATGTTTCTGCAATACTCTGATTACTTGCAGTAGGAGTAAGCACTGTACAGTCTGGCTTGCATCGACTCAATTCTTTAAGCAGGACTGTAAGAATAAAAGTGAGTGTGAATTGTCTGCCAGGGGAGATTACAAATGAGGTGAGAGTGAACAAAAGCATACATTCAACATAGTATGGACCTGTGAAATACGCTTCCAGGTTTTTTTCAGCTCTGCTTGCAGTTAGGAGAGGACTGACACAGAAGCAATTACAGAAAGCCTATGTTAGCTGAGAACCCCTCCACTATGCAAGACAGTCCCAAGGATGCTAACATGATCTTCAAGGCAACTTTATGCTGCAAAAATAGTGTAAAAATGAACCAAAGTCTGCATTGCCGTTACCATCTTTTACTTACATGTGTAAAGTCACTGCTGCACGTATTTGGGGGACACACATTTACTGTTCAGGAGACAGTCACCAGCATAGCTGGAATGAACAGTTCTCTTACAAAGTCTTCCAAGCCATTTTGCAAGTACCTTATCAGTGCAACAATAATACTGTCACAGTGCACTTTCTAGTCCTAATTAATCTTTCTTGGGTTCAAATGACTCTGCTCCCTGCTCTTTCTGCTCACTAGACACTGTACTAAAGCACACTTTTTACTCAGTCCTGAAAATGTTTGTCTTGTTTTCAGTAATGCAAAAAAACATTTTTTCTAGGCTGAGTGAAAGTGTAACCATACACACACATGTTGTGTGTCGCAATCCACCACTTGCTGCATTTCTCCCCTGCATGGAACATGAAAGACAAGCCCTCACCCCAGGTTTAAAAAATTCCTCCAAGGTTGCTCATCATCCCACCAAGCACATGCTCTGCTTCCATCATGAGACTCCAAACTCTGTCTGATTCTCTAGTCTGCCAGAGAATAAAGAGCTCTTTCATTAAGTGGGGTGACTGGTGCTTAGAAGATCCTCACCCAGCACCCCATGTTCTCATTAGTCTGACACTAAATAAGGGAGAGAAGAATCTGGATCATATCACACTTTGAGGCTTGTATAATCATGGTGTGTTTAACATTTAATACTGCACATGCTTGTAAAAACCTTTTAATTCAGTTCAGTCACACTTGCAGTTTGCAGACAGGCTTGAACTTCACTGTGGGGCTTCCAAGCTGGTGTGTTTTGGCAGAATCCAGCCCCAGCAAAGCCGCTGAATGCTAGCAGCAGTGCAGCAGTTGGTAAAGACACAGCATCCTTTCTGCTTTCCTCTTCCTTTCTAGTGTAGGACTTTCATGAAAGCTTTATGATGTTGCTTCTGTATTTTCTAGGGACTAAGAAAAGGCCATATCACTGATTGTGGTAGATTTCACCTTCCAGTGCCTTGCACTCAAAATAGCGCACAGAAATTGCACACAGACCCAGGTGAATACTGACAGCAAGATTTCTATGTAGAAATGCTCTTTGCAATATATATATGCATAAATATGTGAAATAACTAGCACAATGGTTTAGTGTTCATGAAATAAATAGCAACCTTACAGGCAATAATGAGGTACTTAGAACTAAATCATGTCATGAGGCAAATCAAGTTAAAGGGGTTGCATCCAAAGCCCCCAAGAAAGCAGCAGTGGGAGTTAAAATTTCCAGTTCATCCCAGTTTCCAGTGTACCCCATTGCTCACAGAGGACGGTTCCCCCTATCGGCACAAGAAGGGGCTGCAAGGAAGTTTGAGAATCATGCTCCCACTCATCTACCCTCCCTGTCTTCCTTCTGTACCAAAGCACTGGTTTTATCAGTCTCTGCACACACTTCCTTTGTACATTTGCTCTCATGATGGATGTTGGAGGATACTTGTCCTCCTGATATGCTGTCAGGTACAAAAATAAAGCAGCACGGTAGCATTTTATGCCATTCTATTTTCTTCTCATGACTGTAACTCAAAAAATTTCACTCAATTTGGTATTATTGTATTGTTTTGTTTCCTTCTTGTGTTACTTTAAAAGAGCTTGAGTATGCAAATTGTTGATACCCTTACATTATCCAAGGCTACCATGGAAGACCTCTCTTTTTACTACCAGCCATTTTCACTTAAGGAAATGCATCAACTGCAGGTAGGATTGCAAATGGCTCACAGTAGTAGGCTGGAGAGTTCAGAGAGCTTTTGTCTTCACTGAAAGTCACTAAACTGAGTCATATTTTACCATTGGGTCACTTTACCATTAGCTTGTAGGATTCTGCTGTTTATTAACAGTGATGTCCATTTTCATGAATCAGGGTACAACACTGTTACAGGAGATGAAGCATCCATTAAAAAATGCAAAGGCTCCAGAGGGTCTGTTAAATAGCTCTTCTTTAGCTATAATATCTGACAAGACATCAAGGCAGAGTGCTCTTGGGATCTGGATGCCTTGGTGGCCATCTGTTCTGTAGGGAAAAGACCATCTGCCCTCTATATAACCCTTCCATATCTACTGCAGTCTAAGCACTAATACCTTTTGAAATCCCCACCTGTGGCCATTGAATGGTAGCCTCAATTTTCTTATTACAAATGAAGGTGCAGCATTAAAATCTTCCAGTTTTGAAATTTTTGGCATTACATTGATTGCAAAAACCTGGTTTAGTTCATGTTATGCCTTCTCACACACTGCTCTTATTATTTGAAGATGGCAGTACTTACTATACAAAGGAAAGCTAATAAAACACTGCTTTTGTAAGTCCCTGATAACACCAGGGAATGTCACAGACAAACTATTATTATTATGCTGGTCAGTGTAAAACATGTGGCATTGTAAAATCACAGTGGATAAAAGAGTGGAGTAGATTTGCATAGATATTGTTCTTTTAGGCTCAGGCCCTAAGCTGTAAATGAGGTGGTGGCTTACATCCAGAACTGCTGAATGATAAAGCAGCCACTGCCACATCTCCTTTTCTGAGTTTCAACTTTCAGTACCTCATGAGATATTACAGGCAGGCTACACTTCTGTAGCTTACTGCCATGTGAGCAGGTTGATGTAGTGAAAGACAGCCTCACAACTGAACCCCAGCCCCAAACTTGAAGGAAAATTAAGCCCTGTACAGACTGAAATTATTCCTATTTTAGCTAACTGAGCAATCAATCCATCGTCTTGTCATTTTTATTTTTTTTTGCATGAGATTTGCAAAAGTAAAACTAGGCAGCAGTCAGGAACTATTATCATGTTTTAAACCGCTCTCCTAGTTTATGCCTTTTGTGGTTATCTACCTACCATTGTAACCACCACTGTAATAGCTAGTACATTAAAATGCTCTTAAAGACTAGATTTGTCTTGGCAGTGACTAGTGAAAGAGGTATACCTCTCTGATTTCAAATAGACCCCCTGAGACCCTTCAATAGTTTTAATGCTGGAATGCTACCATAAAATATGCCACTTATATGGAAAGCCAGAGAAGAAAATACAATGAAGTCAGGCTCTCTTTTTTTCTGTTGGGTTAAAAATATGTCCTCTGGGAAGAGCTGCATGTAGCTGGCCAATTGGCAACTTGGTATGTGTCCTAGATGAATAAGCAGATTTGCTGTACTGAGGTCCCACTGGCTCATGCCTATCAATCACAAGAAAGGAATCTGTATATTGCTTTTCACACTTGTGCACAGGGGCCCACACAGGGTGAGCCAGAAGCTGACCCTTGGGAAATTCTCTGTAACCATTCACCATCAACTTTCTCTTTCAATCTCTAGATGAAGGTGCTTCATTTCACCCATGCGATGACACCTACTGTGGTCCCTTTCCCGAGTCTGAGCCTGAAGTAAAGGCTGTTGCTCATTTTCTCCGCAAACATCGGAAACAAATAAAAGCCTATTTGTCCTTCCACGCTTATGCACAGATGCTGCTGTACCCTTACTCTTACAAATATGCAACTATTCCAAACTTCAACTGTGTGGTAAGTACATTAAAACTTGGGAGAATATGCTTCCCTATATAATAGCTTTTTGCTTTGAGAAGAGACTTGTTCCTTCAATATTTTGCACATATTTAATATTGAGCGGTATTTATTCTGCATCTGCTTGCAACCACATTTCTGGTTATATAACCTTCACTCATAATGAGTCAGTGGTAATTTGATTAGAATGGTATAGTGCCTTCCACCCATCAGTCCCTTTAAATTACTTCATAGGATAAATCCTTGGGTTTTAATTATAGTTATTATCGTTTTATTTAATTAACTGTAATGGGAATTAAGTTGTTAAGTCCTTGGGCATCTAGCTGAAATTTCTGTTCCTCCATACTCAGAACTTAAGCACTGTGATCACAAAGATCATCTTCAATGTTATGACCAAAGTAAAATTGAAATGGTTTATGTTTATCAATTAGAGAAGAAATCTCATAGATTTTACCAAAAGCAAAGCTTGGATTGCTTTATGTATGATCCTGGTCAGGCACAGTATTTTTAACCCATTAAGACAGCCAGTTACTTAACATCAGGGGATTTTGTCTATTAGAAAAATAAATTAATGAGAATAAAAGGGTGTTATGCAAGCCTATTGATTGTACATTTCATGTATTCCATGCCCATCCAAATGCAGAACTATTCCCTCTGCTCACAATCTGACATCTGTTTTTAGCCAGTCTCCTGTGCATAAAACTGTCCCTATGGTTTATTCTCCTAAAGAAACGTGGCTAAGCTTTACTTTCTGGTTGCTCCTGCTCGCAGACATACATTGCACCAACCAGTTGTGAGCCTCTTTCTCTCAGATCCCAGTAGACTGACATTCTTCATGTATCTCCCATTTAGGCCTTGAAAGTTGCAGTGATTTTTTAACTTGCTAGTTTAAGCTAGTTTACTCCAAGGGAGCTTAGCTGCACCTTAGATTTATCCTGTGCAGGATGAATGATGTTGTCAGTCCCTGGAGCTTCACTGAAGTTTCACTCAGCTGCCCTCCCAGGAGGCTAAGCAGCCAGTGCACCATAAGCTAAACTCTCTTTGTGGGTTTATTTCTGTTAAGACACTTAATTTCAACAGCTACTAAAAATGCTCCTGTGTGATGTCATTCCTGCGACACAGCAAATTACAAGTTAACTAAACAGCCAAAGGAGCTAAAAATACAAGGCTTGTGAGGACTGACTAACCAGCCCTGCACTGACTGTGAACAAATCCATGAATCTTCTTTTTATTCTTTCTTAACCCTCTTTTGGGGAATGGCAGAGAAAAAGGAGGTCCCCAAGTTACTTGGTAACTATCACTTACCAGTAAACATAGACTGGGAATTTAAAACCACAGGATCTCGTTCCTTGCACCAGGAGGTGCAAGAATATTGTTTTAAGAATGGACAACACAGCAGAAGGTAAAGACATGGTATTAGGAAGAATCAGCATCTTCCCTACAGGTAGATGATGAAAATATCCAGAGTAACGTAAGGCAACAGCAGACACTGTAATTGTAAGGAAAAGGAGTCTCTGAGAGTTTTCACACATGCCAGTAAATCTTCAGTACATGTTGTTCTTGCTGCTCAAGGGTTATTTCCATCCTGCAAAAGGGAGTAGCTGCCCTCAGTACAAACACTCTATCTTTCCATGCACAGCTTTTAGACCCAAGGAATCGAGTTTTTGGTGTGTAGTAGGTGTTTCCTAGGTTTGGCAGACCTTGGATCAGGCTTCTCATTAGAGTGGAGCACAGACCTAAAGGGACAAAGAAAGGCACCGTTTTAGACAACAGCCCTGGACAAATAGAAGCCAAATCCCATTCTAATATTTTGCCAATATTTGGACTCCATACTACTTTTTATTGCAGTGGCTCAAAAAGAACAGGGAGGTTGGAATAAAAAACTGAAGTAATATCCTGTTATTTAGAAAGCTCATTATTGGGATCATTTTGAAAATGAATGGAATATTGGTGGTTGTTTATTTGTGTGCTTTAATATTTGCCTACAGCCAAAGGCTCCATCACCTGGTGCTCCTAAATGAATAGTCTTTAATATCTGAAGTGTCCAAATTGGTGCCTTAGGCTGAGGTTTCAGATTCTCTGTTTCTCTTAGAAATTACAGTGAGCTGGAAAACAGCAGATCTCTGTTTCCTCCTGCTGATGGAACAAGCTCTGTCGGTCTATGCAGACTGTGTACAGTGGACAACTGTAGGACTCCACTTGCATAGCAGACAAATAACATTTGGTGCTAACAGGGGGCCACAATTAATCCTGAGCAGACGAAAGGATGTCTCTGTCTGGGTCATATCTTTCTAGTGAGCTGTCAGTTACCATTTCGATTAAAGTGTTCAATTATTCAGAGCTGCTTTGAAACTGGAGAGCTGTGTGCTGATCACAACATGCATATTCTGTTCTAATTTAGGCACAACTCTCTTATTAACACTCTCCTGAAATGTGTTCTTTTAAGATAATCAAAATGAAAGTGCTCTTTTAAATTGAAAAACCCCACCAAACAGCAGAAACCTTCATCCATGTCGAGAGTTTTAAATTTCACCTACCTTTTATCCCTTTCCTGCCTGTACACTCATTTGCTTAGTGTTTGCAGTGAACTTACATGGCACGACTGAGTTTGTGTATGTCTTTGTAAAAATCTGGTAATTTTATGTGAAGCTTTCTCCTTAAAGGTGTTCAAAGACCGGTTGCCTGGACTTATTCAGGGTCCAGCCTGCGCGGTATAATGCAGTTGAGAACTGTCCCTTTCTTTGAGCACCTAAGTCCAACAACGGAAGCAAGTACTACACATCAAGGCTAAGAGCATCAAGTTCACAGTGCCCAGGGACATTTTCCTGCATGGTGGACATGGACTTGGGACACTCCCAGTCTGACCACCAGATGTTTGCTGCCTCTGCACAGAACTGTTGTGCTGGTTTTAAATGGGCATTATCAAACTATTTCATCAGTAAGATTTCAACAGAGTTTGCTTCTGTTGTCTCATTGCTGTACGATACAAAACTCACGCACAAGGAGTCTTCTCCTTTGTGGCTACAAGGACAATGCTCTCCACCCATCTCAGCTCCCTCAGCTGAGCCCTGTCTCCTGCTCCCTTGGTCACAGCAATGACCACCCCACCACACAACACCTCTGACCCCATCATGGGTCATGTGTGTCATGACTCATAGAAGTTGAGGCATCTGTTACAGGAGAAACAGTCCCGAGTGACAGCACTTCCCCCGTCCTCGGGCCTCCTCCCAGCCTCCTCATCTTTGGTGTTAGGTAATTCAGAGGTTACCCCTCACACCATCTGGTGACCACATCCCAGCCCAGCAGAAGCTCCCAGCAGCGCTGACTTCAGTGGTCCCCTCCTCCATGTACTGACTCATGGAGATGGCAAGAGGAAGAGAAGGGGCAAGTCTCCAGCACTGTCATCCTTGTTCTGAGTAACAAAAATCTATTTGTGCTGAACGGATTTCTATATGGAGTTAAAAAGTGCTCTTCCATTTGCTAAGAGCAGTTCTCAGTGTAAAACAAACTCTACAAAGCCCTACTTTCTGTAAGTGAAAATTGTTGGTTTTTTTCCATGAATGACATTTTAAAGCAGTTTTCTCTGGCTTCTCTGCTCGGGCAAAGACCCACAGCAGGAATTGGGTCAGACCGAGGATTAAACCATGATCATGATTCCTGACAGTGGCAAACAAGTGGAAGATAAGTGAAAATGTATAAATGGAAAGGCAAGTATAGAGTAATCCTTCCCCAGTGCATTCATCTAGTGTCTCATGATAACAAGGTATGGACCAAGCTCATGAACACTTGCATAAAATGAAACCTACAGCTCTTCAGTTCACAGAATTGAAACATCTAAAACCATTGCAGCTTTACACAGTGGTTCAAAGTCTGTAAGTTTCTAGCTCCTAAGATATGCATTTCCTGCTCTTTATAGGGAGCTGGCTCTGTGTTTTTCTAGATGCTCCTTCACTCTCCACAGTCCTTTTTCTTTTGAAGACATGCCTCCTTTCTCTGTGTTTGGATGCACTATCCACGTGTGACCCTCAGAATTTGCCATCGGCCAGGCCTTCCTCATCCCATTTCACAGTATACCATGAGTTCCTAAACAGACTGCATGCATATGGATGTTGAACTGTAGATGCCGATTTTCCCCATACAGTACTGAAATCACATATCTGCAATAGTGGAAAGACTTCTCCAAGCCTACATCATCTTTCCCCAGAGAAAGTCAGACCAGCAGACCAGACCTGCCCATCACAGATTCAGGAGTGAAATTTGCCTCCTTCTTTTTTCCCGCTCTTGCTCACTGAACCACTGTGGAGTATCGCAAGAGGTCATTTCTTCTTCACAAGCCCAGCAGAGATGAGATTTAGTGGACTTGGAAATGCATCCACACGTACTGGCAGAAAATGCATGCATGGCTTTTAAACTGCATAAAAAAGAGCTTATTTCATCTCATGATCTCACATGCTTCCTAAATTTGTTGTGTCACTGATTTGGTATATATACATATAATTACAAATACTTAAAGACTGACCGTTCACAGTGCAGTAAGGTTCTTCGTGCTATGAAAACACTGAACCAAGTTTTTCAGGGAATTTGGGAATTGCTGTCAATAAAAATAAATAATGCATTTTTCCTTTAAAATAATTTTACATTAGCTGCCATGGAACACAACATTGAGCAGGAAGTCAATGATCAGGTTCCAATCCTATTACAGTATTTAATTCAAAGTCTAATTTATGTATTTGTTTTTCTCCCCCCCCCCACAGGAATCAGCAGCCTATAATGCTGTTAATGCTCTTCAGTCAGCCTATGGTATAAGATACAGATATGGTCCTGCATCTAGCACTTTGTGTAAGTTTTCCTCTAGCACAGGTTTGTGACTTTGACCTACCTATGGTAAGAAGGAAATTACTCTTATAATAACAAAGAAAGCAAACACTGTTTAAAGTGAACTTTGTTCCAGTTGTGGCTGGTGAGGAAGGCGGAAGATGAAGTTTTGTAAGTGATTCAGTCAGTTGATTGCAGTAAGATTAAATTGATGCAATAAAAGAGATCTAAAAGCAATGCATCTGAAAGGTGAAAGCCAGTGAATAACATGTTCAGAACATGTAAAACCAGATTTAAAAACAAAAAAAAAAATAGACAAAACAAGGTGTTAAAAAGCGTATCTTTACCAGATACTGTAAATACACTAAGTTATAAAATATCTGGGAGGTGTCCCAGTTTCAGCTGGGATAGAGTTTATTTTCTTCCTAGCTGGTGCACTGCTGTGTTTTGGATTTAGAATGGCAATAATGTTGATAGTGCACCAATGTGTGGTTGTGGCTAAGTAGTGTTTATACTAAGTCAAGGACTTTTCAGCTTCTTATGCTGAATTCATGGATTCATTCAATGAGAAGGGTTGAGGGGCACAAGGACCTAGAAGGAGACACAGGCAGGACAGCTGACCCAAACTAACCACAGGGATATTCTATACCATATGACATAATACTCAGTATTATAAGCTAGGGGGGAAGCTGGCCAAAGGCTGCTGTTCAGGAACCGCTGGGCATCAGTCAGTGAGTTGTGAGCAATTGTGCATCACTTGTTTTGTATATTCTAATTATTTTATCATTATTATATTATTATTACCATTATTTTCTTCCTTTTCTGTCCCATTAAACTGTTTTTATATCAACCCTTTATATCTTTATATCAAGTTTTCTCACTTTTACTCTTCCAATTCTTTCCCCCATGCCACTGGGGGTGGGGGAAGTGAGCAAGCAGCTGTGTGGTGTTTATTTGCCAGCTGGGGCTAAACCACGACAGGAGGAAATAATTGAAAGTAGGTTTCATTTTTCATTATTACTTCACTTTTCTTCGATGCAATTGTGATATTCATAGAGCTAATTCTAAAATTTAGGGTGATGTCTTTAAAAGCTAAGTTTCATGTGCCTCTCTGTCTAGATGATGATAAATGATAGCAACAGTATCTTTACTTGGAAATCTTCCCTTTTTCAGAGAGTGATTTCAAGCGCATTTTTTCCTATAACAAAATATCTTTAAAATACTCATTTTAAATATGTAACATTTGTCAGTCAAACTTTCCACATAGACAGGTAAGAGAAACAGAAGTTCAACACATTTCAGCAAGACACTTTCTTTTTTTTTCTACTGAATTTATGAGGCCTGAGTGCACTCAGTGGTGACAAGAGATATTCAGAAAGTCAGAGGCTTAAGCAAACAGCAAGATTTTTCACAAGTAACCTCTTGCATCTCCTCTGCTGTCGCTGTGTTTTGTCTCAGATGTGAGTTCCACTTTATTGTGGGCCTCAATCTCACAGTACAGTTGGCATCTTGTGCTCATTACGGTGCAGTCAGTCACTATGGAAAAGGAACAGCAGTGTGAATTAATGCCAGAATTGCACAGAAGACAGCAGGCCACATGAGAGATGGATCTTTATATAAATATAAGTGTCTTGGGTAATCAACATATGAAGATAAGGAAAGCATAAGAAGCACACTTCCTTGGGAAGGTTTGTTAATATTAGACACCACCTATGCAAATGCTCTTATGCTGTAAGGAAACAGTGAGAAGGCAGAAATTAAGAGAAAATAATTTTAAAAGCACTTTGAAAAGGAGAATGAAGATTATCAGCTTTCTCCTTTCTCCCTGCAAAAGAATTGCCTAAAGTCCCCAAGTTAAACCTAGGAGTATGCAGAGCTCCCATCCAGCTGGAAGATCTTTGTGGAAGCAAAGTTTTATTTGCCTGGGAACAAGAAAAAATTGAGGCTTTGTTCTATATGTTCTCTTTTATTAAAATTTTGCTTTACACACAAAAAAAGTCAGTTATTAATTCTTTTCCTGTGAAAATCAAGGGTCTAATCCATATTGTGCTGAGCACCTTTCACTGGTGCTGGGTACCCATGCCCTTCTCTGAAGGGTGCTTAGGATCAGGGCAAGCAAAAAGCTGGAGTTGCAAGTATACTCACTGAGTCCTGGAGACAAAACACCACATGAACCCTCTGCTGCTTTCAACATGACCTGTGTTTAACCTGGGTTTTTTTAATCTTCTTTTGATTGCCCCTCTCAGATGTGAGTTCAGGTAGCTCTATGGACTGGGCCTACAAACACGGCATCCCCTACGCATTTGCATTTGAGCTGCGTGACACTGGCCATTTTGGATTCTTACTTCCTGAGACGCTGATCAAACCAACCTGCACAGAGACCATGCTTGCAGTTAAAAATATTACTCTTCATCTGCTGAAGAAATGTCATTGAGAGCTATTTCTAGGAGCTGGGAGTGAGCATTTTACTCCCAGTGCTGATGCCTTCTAGTGTGTTCAGTTGCCATTTTAAGCTTGACCACTTCAAAATTATAGAAGCTAATGGAAAGTACGGTGTTTCTACCAGATCTACTTGGTGGGAAATGGAAAAATCATTTAATATCTGCTCTACAAAAGTCCATAAAGTTGATATACTATCTTAGTTACAGTTTGGTGTAAAATAGTCTGTTCTTTTTGCAATAAAGCTTTGATGCTGCAACTTCAGTGGAGCAGGTCCACATAGAGATGCCTGAAATAAAACTCCACTTCTAGACAGTCCTTGGACTTAGTCCTTTCCCTAACAGGACGACTTCCCTTAGTAGGGTCTTTTGAACCAAGGGATAAAGTTTACATTCGTGTATATGTACTCTGAGACACAGGCCTATGTCTATAGCAGCAAATGGCATATAGCTGCAGCTGGCCACGCTGCAGGTGGCTATGTGGCTTCCTTCTGCATGTATACATACATATGTATATGCACTTTTGTGATTATATTTTTTTTTATGTAATGCAAGAATTAGACCCAAGGTTTCCTTTAACTGTTCAGAGAAACCTATTTTCAAATGTATGTATTGGGGTGGACTCAAAATCAACGTATTGCTTTTGAAAATGTAACTGTTCTAGAGATGTGTAAGAATTAGAAGGAAACATTATGGATATACAGTACTCTGCTTTATGTAGAGACAAAGCAACTTGCCATGACTTGGAACTTGGAAGCTGGCAGTTGACTGGTACGTCTGGGTTCTGCTGCAATCAGTGTCTGCCCATTTCCACCAGCCAAGGATCTAGCCTTAAACTGACTGATATTAACTGATATCTTGTTTATCAGTATTTTTGCTGTGAGTTCTGTAGCTCTATGGCTATGTGGCAGTTCTTGGAAGTCATATTTTTTGCATGTTTTAAAGGAATTAAGAATAGATTCTTAAGTGAGCCAGAGGTGAAAGCAGAAGCATTACAGATGAAATACAGTGAATAAACACCATGTTTGAAAGAATAATAACGAAAGCACAGAGAATATAACAACTTGTTGAGGGGCTTTTGTTACTTTTAAAATACTATTTTTTTGATCTTATTTTATCTGCAAAAGCATATATTTTAGTTTATTAATTTTGAGTTTAATCTTATGCCATAACATGTTAAATAAAACATATTTGTTAATAAAATCATCCAAGTATTCTTCATATTTCATTTAATTGTTAAAGTTTTAGTTCAAGGATGTGATCATTTTACATGACTGACACCAATGATTCAATCTTTTACATAAACTACCTCCTCTCTAAATAAGTACTTGAAATTAGCAAGTGGGCAACCTTTATAAGACTAGGGAGCACCATATTTAAGAATACCACTGTTTTCAGGACTGCAAAAGGCAATCAGTGAGCAAACATGGCAGAATTGCATTCTGTTGTTTTATATTCTGTTAATAAAAAGTATTTATTTTAAACAAGCTTTCTGAAAGCTTTTCCAGCTTTGATTAGTTCAGACTTGTTTTGAGGAATGCAAGTTTCTACTCTGGTTTAACAAAAATCCAGGGCAGAGAAGCAGAAGATATTTTATCTACCCACTAGTCATTTCTGATGCTTATGACCATGATCATTGAATAGTTTGAAGACAGCAGTAACTGTCTCTTGCTATGCACAGATTCTTGACCAATGGCCTTAATAGTGGTGTAAATAAAATTTTAGCACCAATTGTTGTGAGTTATTCTGGATTTAGGTGACATGACTGAACTACTACAAGGACATAAGACACTAAAGTGAAGAACAAAAGATGTAAGAGATGCCTAATGAGCATAAGGCAAAAATTTACCTCTGGATTGTTACAGTAGAAACCTTTCCAAGCATGGGCCAGAAGAAACCAGATTCAGATGTGATGGTTTGATTCCGCCTGCTCATAGTCCAACAGTTGGTCAAATGAAACATTCCAGCTTTATCTTCATACCATCACATCTCCACTAGCACAAACGCAAAGAACAAAAACACAAGCTCTTTTAGGTACCAGAAGGACGTAGCATTGCAGATCTAGCTGACCTTCTTGGACAGGAAAAATTGCAAGTATTCTTACATTTATCTAAGAAGCTTTGACATTTAGAAGTACTTGATATCAAAACCAGTCCATGAATAAAGCCACATCCTGGTATCTGGATGGACTCAGCCTGAATACTACATATTATGTGCAAATGAAAACTCTGACCTGACTTTGAGGACCTGTACAGGGTAATCTAGTGCCCCATAGCTGAATACAAGTGTAAACAGTTCCTGGGTTTTTTGAATTTCAGGGTCATTAAAGCTGGTCAGAAAGACAGTCACTAGAAAAGAACAAACACTATTTGCTGAATTAAGAACATGTGAGACAATTTATCAGCAAGAGTTACTCTAAATAGAGTGGTTTACCCTACTGAAAGAACTACTGGAAAACAGCTACTTGGATATGGAACAACAGCCTTTGTGACTTACAAATGTTACTTCACTGAACAGTTCTTTTTTTATCTCCATAATTACTTCTCTTCCCTTTGTACTACTCTTCAGCAGTCTTTATTGCCTACAGGACAAGAGAATCAATAACTGGTTTTGAGAAAAGTGAATTTATTTTATGATCATAAGTATACTTTATCATTCAAGACAATAAAAGGTACACGAACAGCAAAACACTGGTTATTAACCCAGCAGTTAAAATCACATATACAATGATTATGTGAAATCCAGGAGTTGCACTTCCATTGATTATTGATAGAATAATTATAACCACTTCTGTAAATTTGAAAAAGTGCTCAGACAATCTTTTGTGAACATTTGGGGGCATTTGATAGCTTTTATTTTTAATTAAGAAAAAAAACCACACTGAGACTAACATGAAGGAAACAGGCCTATGCCTCTTCAAGTCACCCTTCTTAACAAAACAATTACCCTGAAATTACCTTGAATCATTATTCATAAATTGATAAAAAACTGGCCTTCAAAGGTGAAAAAAGGTATTGAGTTTGGCTGCAAACCTTGAAAAATAGCACAACTGATTGGTGAAGCTCCCCATGTGTTTTTCAGAAGTCACTTTGAAAAGGCAAATGTATTTGATCACTCGTAACATGTAAAGCCTATGGGAAACTGCACTTCTTTTCTAGAAATTTCTGAAGATTTAATAGAAAGAGCTCAAATGACCTTGAGTGCCAACATGCATCTACTTTGAAATATCCAGTGCCAATCCTCTTGTCTGTAAGAAACTGCGGAGTGCAGATTGCACTGCCTATATGAGGACTGTGCAAAATAACTGCTTATTGAAAAGACTGCATCTAATTCTTAAGGTTGGGAAGAAAGCATTTTATTTCCTACCAAAAGTAAGCTACTAATCAACTGTTCTAGCTTATTAATGTTAAACAACCCCTTCCATTTTTATGTTTACATTCTATTCAATGGTATCACTTGAAGAATAATACATGCAACAGAGTACAGGTATTTTCGTAAGCCCTTTTGATTTTTTCTTTGGCTGTGTGAAACTATTATACCATTCCCATAGCTCACTGTTGTACAGTGGTCACATTCATTGATAAAAGATGTTAGTCTTACACTTGATGACTTCGCTTTTGATTTCTGTGCCTAAAAGCCAGATGTTACTATTTTCATACAGTCCTTAAATGATGGCAAAACACCATAATAATATCTTAGATGTGCAAAGACACAGCTACCCCTCTGCTGTAGAAAACAGGACAAGAGAACAGAAATCCAAATAAATTACAGAGATACTTTGAAAATATAAACCCTGTGACATTAGCTGCACTCCTTTAAAACATTCTTAAACACTCACCACCTAAAACACCTTTTGAGTTGTAAATTTCAACGTCTTCTGTCCACAGAAAACATAGGCCATTTGGCATGCTTAATGTATGCCTGAATTCTCATACCCACTCAGGATAAAAGTAAGGTCCAAACAGGTATAATTGGTTTCTCGTTCACTGTGTAGGAGGCAAGCAGGGTGTGGAGAGAGCTGCCTTCTGTCTGACCGAACCACTAGGCTTTCAAGCCCTATCAGCACCACAAAGCCAGGAGTACTGCTGCTGGTGACAGGCCTGTCTTGGAGGAAGGTGAACAAGTTCAGAGTGGTTTTCACAGTCCTCAGCTCAACATGCCTGTCACCGCAAGCACAATGCAGCTTGTTGGAAATTCACTGCTTTAGGCTGTATGTGGTGTCAAAAAGGCCTGCCTTAACAAGGTCTTCTGTTAGTATCTGCAGATTTTGGATAACAAGAGTCACAACAGAACACATAGTTCCCTCCTTAGAAAATGATGTTTGGAGCAAGGACATTTAGAATTGGCAATTCTTTAGACCCCGAATGCTTGTCCTTGCCTGACAGGCAGGAGCGACCAAGCAGAAAGCCTCGGCTCTCCCTGCTTTCAGTGGAGTAGTTCAAGCCCTCTCCTGAGAGACTGATTCAAGCATGGCAGGGCTTGCCCTTGGATTTAGACATCAGGGAATGCACTCATAAATAATAGATTCAAATGTTAATTAAAAAAATCTGCCACTGTCCCCAGCCATGCAGAAAGTGCACTTCGCCCACGACAAAGGAAATCCATCCATTTGCCATAAAGGCATATGGGGGCAATATATTTCATCTATCCTGCCTGCTCTTAGAGTCCAGCCACCTTAGCACCTCTCAGCACTACTGAAAAATATATGTGGAGAAATAGTCATAACAATGAAGTATTTTAATGTACCCCTGGGTCGGTAGGAGCATATACTTTATCTCAAATAATAGATAATGAAATAAACACTGTGGAATGACTGTGAGCAGGTGTTTCAGTCTTTTGTGCTGACTACAATGTGCCAAGCTATTCCTCTGAATACCAGGATGGCTCAGTGCTGGGAGGGCTGCCTCTTTTTTTAACCAAATAATGAACCCTTTTCTTGTTTTTTTTTAGCAATTATTAGAGAATATTATGTTAGGTCTGAAGATACATACACACACCAAAGAGTCTGAGAAAGCTTCATTTTATAACAGAATTTTCAATTTTCTTGAAAATAATTCATCTGTTAAAATCACAGCCAGAGTTTCCAGGTGGCTTATTCTTTTACAGCATAACTGAAAAAAATTGCATAGAAATATATACATATATATACATATAAAAGCTAAGCAGAAACAACCAATTTGCTTACTGTTTCATTTCCCTTGTTTTATTTCACTTTGTTTCTAGATTGAGAAAATCTGGGTTGATTGGGCTGAATTGAAGGAGTACAGTCAAAAAGCTGAGTGTACAGGGTTCTTCTGCTTAATGAGCTAGAAATGGCTGCTTAAAAAAAAAAAGGCAACTTGGTGTATTTTAAGTTCTTTATACGGAATAATTGCTTTACTCTATTTAAATTCAATTATCACATTTGCAGAACTTATTACGGTTTGGAAAGATAATTTTCCTGTGAGCCAGGCAGTGGTTTAAGGGTTAAATGAGTGAAATGCCTGTTAATGTGGTACAAGAACCAGAACTGCTCTTTGGCCTTGGTAGCACAGAGCATTGTCAAAGGATGAGATGTACTTGAGCCTCCTCTTAACAGGATGAATATGCTATTTCATGCTGCATGGTGTCTCCACTTCTCTTCCTCCATTTCAAAACAGAATTGAATACTGTCTGTCAGTGACAACTTCAGCTAGAAGAGCCTAACTTTTGGTACTAAATTTTAATCATGAACCTGTTAAAATGTGTGAACTTCCCCACATACCTACGCAGATTCATTCACACACAAACAAGATGTCTGTCTGCACAATGTGTACTGTGTGATGATTTACGTAATGGTGTAGCTGCAATTCTTGGCAACCACAGGGCTGCTGATAGCAGGCAGCATGTGTTCAGCATCTCTCCTCTGCCTGTTGGAAGCACATGCAAATTCAGCTTATTTGGCCAGTTCCCTAAAAGCCTTGGACACTATTTCACTGGTGCAACACAAAAAGCTCTCTTCCTGGAGTTTCTCTAGTGTATTTGTGTGGGTTATCCCCTACTACTGTTAACATAGCAAATACAAGCTCAGAACATGGGACAAGCCCTTCATGTCTTGCACCCTATAATAGAGTCAAGAGGGGTTTTGCTATTGTGAACACTTAGGGCAGAGGCTGTAAGAAGGTGTTATGCCATCAACTCCCAATGTGGACTGCATCCCAGAAAGCCTTTGTTACATCATGGGTTATAAAGGTCCTATACCATTGCCCAGAGTGATCAAAGGTGTCTTGATCCTGCTCCTGGAAAAGCTGCTAGCATAATGTCATGGTAGATAAGGGTAGCTCTGGAGAGGCTACAAGACCATACCAGCTGCTACCAGGATTTTTGGACTGCTTCAGACCATGAACAATTCTTCTGTATGTTAGCCATTTGCAGGAATACATGTTTAAAACAATAATTTTAGACAAAAAAAAACAAACAAAAAACCCAACACACAAGCAAACAACAAAAACAACAACAAAAAAAATCGTCACCTTTCTTATACATTTTAAAGATTTTTCTATTGAAGCTGTTGTGATTGTTTTCAGGTATTTTCCAAGAAATTAAGTGTCTTTTCTGAGAAGCTGAGGTAGAAGTAACCTGAAGCTGCCGTCATGCTGAAAGCTGTTTAGGGAGTCAGTGTATGCAGTCCACTACCTGTCAAACACTCACCTACCAACACTGCAGATAATAAGTGCAACCTTAAGGAGATGTCTCAGCAGAGACCTCCCTGCAAACATGTCTGGAGACAGAGCTACTCTTAAGACAGCAGTTTGGATGCAGACTGGCTAATGAATGTTGGAAAGCTTGTCTACAACTCTCTCAAGCTGAAAGTAAGCACTCATGTTTAAACTGCTGTCAGGACTGCACTTTAAAAAAGAGAAAAATATAACATAAAATAAAAAGTTGTAATTTGCATCAGTGTCTCAACAGAGAAAGGAAGGTCCCCATTCATTTCCTGATCCTCTGCATGGCACCAAGTGAAGGGCTCCTTCACTGGTGTCCCTGGCTGCAGATCTGCTGGCACCCAGCCCATCAGAAACAGTGCTATATCCAATTGCTGGAGTTACTACCTTGTTTTCCTTGT